ATACTTCTTTTTTGGCCCTGTTACTTGAACAGTACATTTTATCAGTTTATCAAAAACTATCAACAGCACAATAGAATACTAATAGAAGAAATGCATTGGGTTTTTTTTGGGAGTAAAATCGCTCTGTACTAATTTAATTTGTGATGATGCTGCCTACTCATTTTTCATAGTAATCTTACAGAACCCACCAGGCAAAAAAAAAAATCTTACCAAATACCATATTTTTCTTAACCTATGTTTCCACCATAGTGGGATCTTTAATGGTACTCAGTCCAAGTTGTTATGTTGTAAAACATGGTCTGTGTACAATGAGTTACTCTTGATTTGTCCCATTTTGTAGACAGAGAAAAGCCTGTATTTGGTTACTGAGCAGGTGACACCACTTGCAGTCCACCTTAAAGCTCAAGCCGAAAAGGGCGGTGCTGGAGAACTAGAGGTGTCATGGGGTCTTCACCAGATTGTGGTTAGTAGAAAATTCATCACCAGCTTATCTTGTTATCATAAACATTTTGTGTTGTTAGAAGACATTCTTTTTTTTCATCAAACAGAAGGCTCTCAGTTTCCTAATCAATGACTGCCACCTCCTCCATAACAACTTGGGAGTGTGGGCTGTTTTTGTGGATAAAGCTGGGGAGTGGAAGCTTGGAGCACTTGACCATGTTGCCCCTGAACAAGGTGATCCAAGTGGAGCCGTTTTACCTGCCCCTAAAGCGGTGTACCCTGATATGGAGAAGTATGATCCTCCCGAAATGCCAAATAGTGGAGAAAAGTGGTAAGACTAAAGGTGCATCATATTAGAAGCATCTAGGTGAACACAAAGCATATTAGTGATTTTGATCAATATTTCAGGGCTGGCGAAGTTTGGCGGTTAGGCTGCTTAATATGGGAGGTGTTCAACGGCCCACTACCACGTACTTCATCACTTCGTTCATTAGGCAAGGTAAGATGCAGAGATGTTTAAAATCATATTTAAATCATTTATTTTGTTATATTTTTGTCAGTAGTTTAGTTGTTTTGAAATGTAATGCACACCATTTGCGCAGATCCCAAAAACCCTTGTCCCTCACTACTGTGAGCTTGTGGGAGCAAACCCCCGGGCTCGGCCCAATCCTGCCCGCTTCTTACAGAACTGCAGAGCGCCTGGGGGGTTCCTCAGCAACAGTTTTGTTGAAAGTAACCTCTTTCTAGAGGAAATTCAGGTATTTATAGTGACTATACATTTACTTTTTTTTTAACTAACAAACTATTAGAATAACAATCACTATACTTTCAAGATCAAAGAGCCTTCAGAGAAGCAGCAGTTTTTCCAGGATCTGAGTGAAAATCTAGACTCTTTTCCTGAGGACTTTTGCAAACACAAGGTTCTTCCTCAGCTCCTCACTGCATTTGAGTTTGGAAATGCAGGAGCAGTCGTCTTAACGCCTCTGTTTAAGGTGTGTCTTTGCTTCAATTTTAGTTTTTTAATTTTAACAGTTGAACATATTTTTAAAAGACCTTGTCTGACCATCTTTTAGGTAGGAAAGTTCCTCTCTGCAGAGGAATATCAACAGAAGATAATCCCAGTCATAGTCAAGATGTTTTCCTCTACAGACCGAGCAATGAGAATACGACTGCTTCAACAAGTATTAATTCATTTTACACTGAATTTCAAATTTCTTTAACTTTTTTTCTTACTTAAAATAATCAAAACATGTTTATGTTTTGTTTGTTTGCAGATGGAGCAGTTCATTCAGTATTTAAATGAAGCGGCTGTCAATAATCAGATTTTCCCACATGTTGTTCATGGATTCACAGACACCAACCCAGCCATTCGAGAGCAGACTGTCAAGGTAGTTCATAATAATAAAATAATGAAATAAATTGATCAATACATTTTTATTAATCTTTATCTTTTCTACTGTAGTCCATGCTACTTTTGGCTCCAAAGTTGAATGAGACCAATCTGAACCAGGAGCTAATGCGTCATTTTGCTAGACTGCAGGCTCGTGATGAGCAAGGTCCAATCCGGTGCAACACAACTGTTTGTCTCGGCAAGATAGCCTCCTACCTCAATGCTGGAGTAAGACATTCATTAAAGTTCATTAAGACAATGTCTTAAGTAGTCACAGTATTCAGATTTTTAAAAAGTCTCTTCCTCTCCCCTAGGCACGACAGCGGGTTTTGATTTCTGCTTTCTCACGCGCCACTAAGGACCCTTTCCCAGCTTCTCGGTCTGCTGGAGTTCTGGGCTTTGCTGCCACTCACAACTATTATAGTGTGTCAGAAATAGCAGCACGCATACTGCCCACTCTTTGTGCCATTACAGTCGACCCAGATAAAGGTGTCCGAGACCAGGTACTTGTAGAGTAAATGCTGCATTTCTAATTCAATTGAATTACTTTGGTGCATTTTGCCACAAAAACTACTTTCAACTTTCTCATCCTTTCCAGGCTTTTAAAGCTATAAAGAGTTTCCTCTCTAAACTGGAAACTGTTTCAGAAGACCCTAGCATGCTGACGGAGATAGGTGTGTATTTCTTAGAAACTTATCAAAGAAGAATCCCTTGATTAGTTGTTTTTCTAAACCTGACGCCTTTCTATTCCCTGTTGTGCCTTTTAGAGAAAGATGTGGGGTCATGTGCTCAACCTGCTGGTGCCTCTTCGGGTTGGACGGGCTGGGCGGTCACAGGCATGTCCTCACTGACTTCAAAACTAATCCGAACAAATCCAGGAACAGAGGGCGGAGGAGCCCCTGAGGCTTCAGCTGCTACTGATGCCATCACTCCAGCAAATGCTTCTTCAGTTGGTAAGAAACTGTTAATATTGTTACATCTGTTTTTCTGATTATTCTGTCCATATATTTATTTCAGGATTTACATTTTCATACTTCATTTTTTAGTCTTGATGCCATATTTCACCATTTGTGTAACTGGTACTTAGTGTTACCATTACTAGTTATGTTGCATCATAGCACATTCCTGGTTTTTACATTTTGTGAAGTATTTTTTACATTTTTACAGATTCTCAAGACATGCCTTCAGAGGCTTCTATGCCTCATCCTGCTGCCAGTAACTTTAGTCCACCAGAAACAAGTAATATTCAGACCAACAATAATGAGCCAATAGGAGACCGCTGGGATGATGATGAGGACTGGGGAAGTCTAGAGGTAGATCATCAATAAAAACTAACAGCACACTGTAGTTTACCTTGCTTTTTTCTAATGTGGCTCTTTTTCCAAAAGGAACCAGAGAAAACTCTGACTCAATCTGATGATTGGGGTGCCGACTGGTCAGGAATTACATCATCTAAGAAGAAAGCTGTTGATAAAGTATACATATATATTTTAGTAGATGTAATATGTTAAAATAATGCTGCTAACATCTTTCTTTTTTAAACTAGACAAGTCGCATGTCATCGGTGGCTGTGAAAAACAAGAGCTCTGATTGGAGCAGCTCGGGTTGGGATGCAGATGACAGTTGGTCCAATGAGAAAGATGGGCAGGGCCAGAGTTCCGCTGGCGAAGAAGGCTGGGGCAATGACTGGGCTGACGAGGACACAGACACAACGTCCACAAATAAGGCCCTCCCTCTGCCTGCAGGTGTGCGGTTAGCCAGTGAATACAACTGGGACAGTGCAGCCAAAGGTTCAGCTCAGAATGACCTGTTTGCCAGCGTATCCCAGAGAGTGGCGGCTAACACAACTGTCACGGTAAGAGCAAAGGGGGACTGTGTCCTATTGATGACAGAAAGAACAAGATGGGTGACTAATGTCTAAAATATGCAGCGTCAACAATCTAATCTCATTCCTTGATTAAATGCTAAGGCTGTGACATGTGACTGCACTGATATACATTGCTGTAAAATTTATTTTGGATTATTCAGGGAGGAGATGGCTGGAGCACAGAAATGACAGGGGACTGGGGTGGAGAAGAAAGCTGGGAGTCTGTTGATGGTGTCCAGGGTATGTTGTTGTTGTTATTATTATTATTATTATTATTATTAATCAACACTTGTTTATAATTGTTTTTTTGTCTACAAGGTTTGAGCAAAGCTGAATTGTCAAAGAAGAAGCGTGAGGAAAGAAGGAAAGAACTCGAGGCAAAACGCGCTGAACGAAAAGCAAATAAAGGACCACTCAAATTGGGTGCACGTAAACTAGATTAAAGGACAGGTGGGTACATGAGGGGCAACAGCAATGGGACCCATCATTGGACCTTTGACATTCCGCAAGAAGGACCAGAAAGATGCAAATAATACTGTAAACCTGTCTCCAAAGTATGCCGTAAAAATGACTGGTCAAATGAACTTAAGTCTTTGTCTCAAGAATATGAATCTAGTGCCCATAAAAGCCCAAATAGGGGCAGTTATTAAAATATCATCAAGATTGAAAAGGACAATATTAAGCTGTCAATCACTTGGTCTTATGGGCAGGAACCAAAATGTGTACATTTTATGAACTGGAAATGTGCTGGTTTTAGTGTACAGAAATGGACATCTTCTATTTAAGTGTTATGTTGACAAAAGTGAACAAGGACATGAGAGTCACACCTTCATCAATATTTGCTGTACCAAACATGGCATGAACAATGCGATTTATTTCAGCTGTCACGAAAACAATGCATGCACAGTATTTGACACAAAAACTGTTCATGACTCAACTGTATTTTATTGTCTATAAACGGGCCTTGGAAAGTAGAGATCTTCTAATGGATGGCAAATGAATGCATGTGTTTATATGTCCCATCAAGAAAACTGATTCATGTTTAACTTGAATCAAGAGTGGATGGGATGTTTTCAGGGTAAAGGACATTTTACTTTTATTTGTGCCTTCATTTTAACAAATCATATCTGAAGGGTTATATATTGTATTACTGAAGATGTGAACCTGTTTCATTAAATTAGTTTCCTTTACTTTCCATGCCTTTTTCTGCATAATTAAGAGTTACAGTTAAGAGAATAAGGACCAGTTATAACTAGGTACTCTCTTTCACCAAGTTTGACGTTTGGTAAGACACTACAGACAGAACTTTTAAAAATTTTTATTTGTTGCCTTGCCATTTATGCAATTGAGAAAAAGCTTACAAAATCCTGGGATAGAGAAAATCATTCCTCATTAACCAAAGTTACAGAACAAGTGGGCTGTATACAACACATTTAAGCAAAAGCAAGATATACAAATGAGTTACTTCAGTGTCAGTAATGGCCAGAAACGCCAAAGTTATCAATAGTGACAAAAATGCTTTGATAGCTTGTTTTTTACTCATTTGGTCATCCCCCCCCCCCCACACAATTTCAGTTTATTCTGAGGTGTATGTATAACAAAGAATCTTGACAAAAACAGTTTTATCAATAGTATGAAAGTGGTGTGTGCATGCGTGAGTGATGGTAGTCAGAGGGGCCGATGGCACAGATTGGCAGCCTCGCTTCCATCAGTCTGCCCCAGGGCAGCTGTGTTTACAGAGTGAATGAATAATACTCTGTAAAGCGCATTTTAGTGTCCAGAAAAGAGCTATATAAAACAGATGCATTAATAGTGAATATATTTTTTCTTCCATATCTCTATAAATATTGTGTATTAATAAAATTTATTTTAAATAATGTTTTATATGCTGATAGCATGTACTAAAATGTGAAAATAATCCTTTTTATACCAAAGATGATGCATATATGTTGTGTGCTGTTACTAAGACACAGAGATCCTTTGTGCCTCCTGATGTCAATGGCAGTTGTGTTTTGCTGGCCTAAAACATATTGTGCCAGTGGCCTTTAATGAAAGCCTGGATTATGGCTGTATTACTGTGTGTTCTTTTCCTTTTCCTTTTTGTTTCCTCCAAGAAACGCCCCTGCCAAAGCCACAATGCCCAGTCCAACTGCTCCTGCCAGACCAACAAGCAGGGCAGTTTCACCAGCCTTGCGAACCTGTACAAATCACAGAGACATTTGTGTCACACAGATTTAATAAAAAGGCAAACTGCAAACAATATCATACTTCAAGGCGCACTAGGTAACTTGTCTGGTGGATGATCTACTGTATGCGTTATAAAGTTGCTTGGAATTCCACGGTAAGGGATTGAACTCGGTGATGCCACCAGAACAAGTTACAGGTCAGATCAACCAGCATCACTGTAAATGAGAGTCTGTTCTCAATACCTGGTAAAATAAATATCTGTGAAGATACTGAACTTGGAACCTTCTTACTGTGAGAGCGAGAGTACCAACTCAGTCACTGTGTCATTATGTGAGACTCATCTCCTTGATAAAAGTAAAAATTATTTTAAAGTTATAGCATACTGAGCTTATCTTCAGTGAGGGTTGAAAATTAATTATTCACTATTCTCCTTTTTATGTTGATTGGGGCAGATTGACTAAACATAATCAGTGTAGTGTGCCTTTTATGCATCCCACTATTCACCCACCTGTCGGGACTCAGGCCGGCCATAACGCAGCTCAGTGACAAAGTGCTCACAGTTTCCTCTGAAGACACAGTAAGGGATTTCTTTCCCCACTTGTCTCCTTGCCTCCCGGACAATGACTTCAGGCATATGAGGGGTGTATTTATCATCTAGGCTGTTGTTGATGACCCACTTGTCTATTCCCACAACGTCCCACAACTCTTCTTCCTTCACAATAGCTTTCTCCGCCAAGACGGACATCATACTGTTGGCACCTGCACCTGAAATCTCAGCTAATACAAGCAATCAGCATTAAAAAACACTTAAATGAATTATTAATATTATTTTATAATTAATAAAGAACACTTAAATAGGTTTTAACCATACTGTCAATACAAATATGCTATAACATGTGTCTCAAAGGTTAGTGTAGGGGCCAAAATGCATCTCCGGCCACTGTGTGGCATTGTGTCTTTGTTTTCTGTGGGTTGCTGCCTATTTAAGACCTTTAATTAGCGATGCTAACTTTTACTGGAGTTTTGGGCTCATTTATATGGAAACACGTGTCAGAACTACCTTTTAAAATTTGCATCCTAGTGGCCGGTGTGGCACACTGCCCCTACACTTAGATTTGTGTGTTCTTACAAGGTGGAGCCAGGTGAACCACAAAGCCATTGCCAATGTAGACTGCCCAGTGCTGGTAAGAGCCACGGAAGATTTCTATTAGGTCCCCAGGATTTGGCTTTTCATCATACTGAAAAGCAAAACAAGAATCATATTAGTTCACTTATAAGCAAACCCATGCTTATTATGCTGTTTATCCCTATAAGGTTAGCCTAAATTAATATGTAATTGACTGACATTAAATACGCTAAAGATAATGACTTAAAAATATATGTTTACCAATGTTGGAGCCATGATAGTAGATCTTGAAAGGGTTCTTTTTATGTGGCTTTCGATTTCAATCGGACTATACCAAGAACCCACAGGAGGAAATCTGCACAGAGACAAACAAGTGAGGCGAAAGGCTTAAGCAGTAAGCGACTTTTACGAGACAAAGAACAATTTGACATGGTCAACCTGTTTTTGTCTAGCCTTATGTCTCTTAATTAAATTGTTTCTCGCATAGTTTCACCTTCAGTTTGTTTCTGCAGGAAAAACTGTGGCGGTGACAGCGGCTTCTGACGGAGACGTCGCGCAGGCACAACAAAACAGAAAACAGCTGATCTTTTGGATGACCTTTCACAATAAGATAATCACGTCCAGTCTTTCACAATAAAAGTCTAAAGCATTAGGCTACTATTCATATGCATTCAATTTGGTTTATTAAATAAATGTTTATTGTGGTAGACAATTTATAAATAATGTGCAGCATCCTGAAGGCAGCCCTCTGAGTGCAGCCACAGTCTGCAAATATATCCAATATATATAGAATATAATAAATAAATAAATAAAACAATGATTTTATTTTACTGTGAAGATAATTCTCATGCTATATAATGTATTATCATTTCTACATTTTAAATATTTTTAAACAACATCTATGAAAAGTGGCTATTAAGTCATTTTAATAGAGCTATGGCTTTAGGGTGTCACTAGATGGCGGCAATCATTGGCGGTCTGGGTCGACTAAATAAAAGTAAAGAAGAATAACTTCCGGTTACAGTGTGCTCTTTTAGTATTTTCCTCTGCTGACGTTTGATAGAAAATCTTTTTAGCGCTTGTTCCATTGCGCTCATCGAAGTTATTAAGACAATTGTAGGTTTATGCAACGCTTTGATGTTAAAAGACCAAGCCATGTCTGCGGTGTTTGATGGAAGTGGGCTAAAAGCGGCGCAGAGCTCACACAGTCACACACCACACACTGCCCTGAGGTGAGTAGTAACCATAGACTGTGGTAGTACCAGTCAAACAGATTGCACTCAAAGCTACTACAAGAAAAATACAAAACAACCTGTCACTCTTCTGATTTTCATTTAAACATTTTCACAACTATAAAAAATTAAATATGATGGCTCCCCCTTTTCCTTTTCATATTTTTAATCAACATAAATACAATTATATTTTATAGTTATGGTGCTACATTAGTCAGTTGTACAGATAAAAGTGTAATAATATATAATCCTTTCTTAAATAGTGCACAGGAGCTGTCACAGGAGATCAAATCTTTCATAAATGGAGTGGACAGTGTCCAAGGACGAAAGCTTAGTGTGAGAGAGCACGCCCGGTGCGCTGTGCGGCTGCTGCGCGCGGTCCCTGCCTGTCGGGCCGCGGTGCTAGAGCACCTGAGAGGCGTCTATGATGAACATGTGTCTGCTTTCTTGCACCATCTGGAGACAGAGGGAGAAGGAGGCTCTGGGCCCAGCACCAACCTGGAGGATATCATCCAAGTAAGTGACACGAGAGACATTTAATTTTATGTAAAATGTTGCAGGAAACTGTCTAATATGTAAACAGTATAATACAGTCCCTGACAAAAGTCTTGTTGCTTATCCATTTTGTAGAAACAAAAGCTTATAACCTGACTTTAAATTAATCGATTGGTTTTAGAAATGTCTCATATGAAAGCTAAAACCCTCCCAAATTATGCTCAATATACTAAAATAAATTTGCTTCACTGATGAAAGATTGATCATTTAATGAACACAGAAAGGTCAGATTTTGGCAAGACAAAAGTCTTGTCGCCTTGTCATATGATGCACCCAATGCTAGATTACAGCCTCACCTGTGATCAGTTACTCATCAATCAGTTAGTGTTTGTGTATAAAAAGAAGCCCAGCACACCAGACCTTCACATCAACTGCAACTTGACCTCTGACAACATGCCTAAGATCTACCCTGAGACCAAAGCGTTAATTATCAAGAGGCTGAAGACCAGATCCACTGCTGAGGTGGCTGACACCTTCAATGTGTCTCAGCGTCAAGTACAAAGAATAAGAAAAAGATCTGAAATGACTGGAGATGTTTTTGACAAGCCCAGGTCCGGCAGACGCTGCAAGACAACTGCTCGGGAGGACCGTTTGTTGATCGAAAATCCAAGGCCAGCCCCTTTTGCACTGCAGCAGAGCTCCACCAGGCCTGGTCACCTCAAGCCCCTGTGTCAACCAGAACAGTTTGTAGAATTCTGTCTCGAAATGGCCTCCATGGTTGAATCAGTGCACAGAAACCAGCACTAAACAAAAGGCAATTAAAAAACCATGTGGCATTTGCCAAGGCCCACAGCCTGCTAAAAATAGTCCAATGAGATTCATTTGGTCTTCCAATATTCTATGTTATTAGGTTCTTTTTTTCAGACCTAGAGTGTTATTTCATAAGATGGACACTGGAAAAGTGGCAGAAGGTGGATTTCTCAGATGAATCCTTGGTTGAATTACATCACAGCCACCGCAAATATTGCAGGAGACCTACTGGAGCCTGCATGGATCCAAGATTCACCCAGAAAACAGTTAAGTTTGGTGGCGGAAAAATCATGGTCTGGGGTTACATCCAGTATGGGAGTGTGCGAGACATTTGCAGGGTGGAAGGCAATATCAATAACCTAAAATATCAAGAAGTATTAGCTACCTCTTACATTCCCAACCATAAAAGGGGTCAAATTTTGCAGCAGGATGGTGCTCCATCGCATACTTCTATCTCTACATCAAAGTTTCTCAAGGCGAAGAAGATCAAGGTGCTCCAGGACTGGCCAGCCCAGTCACCAGACATGAACACCATTGAGCATGTCTGGGGTAGAATGAAAGAGGAAGCATGGGAGGCAAAACCAAAGAATCTTGATGAACTCTGGGAGGCATGTAAGACGCTTTCTTTGCTATTCCTGATGACTTCATCAACAAACTGTATGAATCATTGTCGAACCGCATGGATGCAGTCCTTCAAGCTCATGGAAGTCATACAAGATATTAAATATGGAGCTCACAGCACCACTACTTAATTCACTGACGTTATGCAACATATTTTTGTATTTGAAGTAAATTATTTGTTAAATTTTCTGTAGGCGACAAAACTTTTGTCTTGCCAAAATCTGACCTTTCTGTGTTCATTAAATGATCAATCTTTTTTCAGTGAAGCAAATTTATTTTAGTTTATTGAGCATAATTTGGGAGGGTTTTAGCTTTCATGTGAGACATTTCTAAAACCAATCGATTAATTTAAAGTCAGGTTATAAGCTTTTGTTTCTACAAAATGGATAAGCGACAAGACTTTTGTCAGGGACTGTATGTAGATGTATAGTAATGAGATTTGTGTTTGTTTGGTTTTTTTGTAGGAGGTTCATGGGGTGCTTTCTGAATTCATTCGTCTTAATCCACGAGCCTGGGCCCCGTTGGTTTCAACTTGGGCTGTAGATTTACTGGGCCAACTGAGTAGTAAGCATGCTGGACGTAGGGGCGCTCCTCACTCCTCCAGCCTGAATGAGCTGCTCCAGTTGTGGATGTCTTGTGCAGCCACACGCTCCCTTATGGAGGCCTACTCTCAGTGTTTGGCTGCCATGTTGGCTTGGTGTCCTGATGCCTGTGTAGATGCACTCCTGGACACCTCTGTTCAACACTCACCTCACTTTGATTGGGTGGTAGCTCATATTGGCTCTGCCTTTCCAGGGACCATTATCAGCAGAGTGCTAGCCTGTGGTCTCAAAGATTTCTGTTCTCATGGAGCTAAAGATCAGACTCTGGTAGTGATGGGACTAGACAAAGGGGCAAAAGTGCCCAAAATTGGTTCTGTGGTTGGAATCCTCGGTCACCTGGCTGTGCACCATTCTGACTGCATCAGGAAGGAGCTGCTCCGGATGTTCCAGGAAAGTTTGACCCCGTCCAGCCCTCTGTCTCCAGATTTGTCCTCCACCTCCTGGGAAACATCCCCACAACTCCGTCGAGCTGTCGTGCCATTTCTTCTGCAGCTGGCTGCCATGTCTCCTGACCTTTTTGGAGCTGTGTCTTCAGAGCTGGTGGAGCTCTTACGACCTCCTGTACTACTTCAACTTCACAGTTTGCTGCAGGGCCTTCCTAGGGAAGAATTGGACAATATGGTAGGGCTTGCTGTCCACCTAATTAGTCAGAGTCCTACAGGGGGAGCACGAACCCTGCGTTTTATTGCTGACACAGCTACTCCGGCCTCAGTAATTATTTCTGGTCCTACATCTTCTCCACACGAGGGAGTCAGGGAGGGATGTGATCGACTCCTTCAAATGTTGCTACTCCATCTACATAAACTGGTTTATAACCGTTCAGATGGACTTGAAAGTGCACCTCACACCTCGGTTATGTCTCAACCTAAAAGAAAAATTCCTTTTTTAGAGGAGCTTCAGTCCTATGTGGGTGAGCTGTGTGCTGAAACACTGCGCCTTGAGAGAAAACGTCATCTTTGGTTGCATCAGCTCCTGTGCCTGCTGTCAGTTTACGGGGGTCCAAGTGTGGCCACTGAGGCTGTATGTCAGCTTCTAACCCAGGCCCGAAATCCTGAAGAATTGGCACTGGCCTGGCAGTTGCACAGCACACTGTCCCTGTGTATGGTTGGACTGATCCCTGCTGCCATCACCCGCTCTGTGGCACAGATACACACGAACACCCTGAATCCACGCCAGCTTCGACAACTGTTGCTAAACCTCGCTGCAGCTATTCAGAGCCAGGAGGAAGAGCGACGAGGGGCAGTAGGACCCCATTACACTATGGCTATGCAACTAGGATCAGCAGTCTCAGAACACCTCCATGATTTTGGACCTCTTCTTCTTCATGGTGACTCAACAGTTTCACATGCAGCAGTGCAGCTTTTGTCCTGCAGCCCATTACCTCGTACCTCTTCACCGGGCCACTTGTTGTTGTTGTCACGTGCCGCTGTCACTTACTTCTTTTTGGCATTGCGAAGAAGACAAGAAGGGCTCAAAGTTGGCAGAGATGCTGGACAAGCAAGGGAGGCTGTGAACTGTTCTCTGCTGCTACTGTCTCGATTTGCTGGGTATTCCCCTCTCACCCTAAAGTCCATACTTCAGCAGCTGGTTGAAGGAGCACTGCACAAAGGAAATGCAGACCTTTTTGGAGGTCAAACGTGCGACATAACAGATGTACCTGTAGCTTCAACATCTGCATCGCTGGACCTTGGAGCCTCCCTGCTGAGCATCAACTGTCAATTTGGCACCACAGCCAACTTCTCTGGCAGTGTGTGGTCAGTGTTTCATGCCGGAGTTATAGGAAAGGGCCTAAAAGTCAACTCTGCCATAAAAGTGCCTGATCCATCTGCTGCAAGCCAGGTGAGTTAAAGAGAGAATCTTTATTTATTTATTTATTTTTTTTATGCACCTAATGTAACTTGCTCTGTGTTTATTGATACTTTGCACTGACATTACTTTGGGGGTGTTCTGCATGTATATCTGGGGGAATGTTCATCAGTTAACATGATGACACAATGCAAATATTAGAAAACACAGCGCAAAAGTTTTAATATAGTCTAAACTCGCTAAAAATACAAAATGAATGTTAACAACACATTTTCAGGAGTCAACAATGCAAGCGTTCATGATCCTGTTTAGGTGTTTTGATTTTCAGTGAAAAGGAGAGAGTGACTAACTGAAAAAAAAAACTGTTGGCTAATGCTAGCTAACTTGTGACTGTAATGTAATTTGAGAGGGACATGTTACAAAATCAACTCAACCATTGTAGTTTTAGTTTAGCCCATTCTTTTTACTCAGATTGTGTTAAGACTTTAATCCGGGCTTTGTTTTGACTTAAGTAACAGCTCTTCAGACAAAGGAGAGCCTACAGTTAGCGTGATAATAATAGCTAATGACATTCGCTGCAAATTATCAATTGACTGAGCAATGACTACCAATACCAACATTTTGTTATTATGGATACTGAGGGGTTGGTTTAGTTTGATTGATGGGAGGCTCTGATCACCTGTTAAATTGCCGTGGGTCACATATTTTTAAGTAATTAACATGTATTTATTTTTTTTTGCCTGTAGAACATTCAGACTCTTATTGCTGTCCTGGTGCAATGCTGCAGCTCCTCGGGTCTCAATGGCTCATACAGTGGCTCACGTTCTTCACCTGACCCCTGTGAATCTCCAACAATCAATGCAGAAGCTGCCAAAGTGGTTGCAGTCACAATGGTTGAAAATGTTTGTCCAGATGTATCTAATAGTGAGCTGTCATGGCCACCAGAAGAGCATGCTCGCACCACTGTAGAGAGAGATATCCACATTCGGCGCTACTTCGAGGCCCACCCTGTTCTCTTTCCTATGCTTCAAGTGGTCGCAGCTGGACGTCCTGCTCTCTGCTACTGTTCTGCTCTACTCCGAGGACTTCTCGCCACTCTGCTTGCACACTGGGAGGCATCCCGTGATGCTTCATCCACAGATTCTCCGTGGCATCTTCAGGCCTCCAGCTTGGTAGTGTCTTGCATGGGAGAAGGCCAGTTTATTCCTCCTGTGTTGGCCAATGTCCACGAGGCATTCCCTCACCTTGCACCATTTGAGGTGAGGCTCCTATTGCTGGCTGTATGGGAATATGTGAGGGGCAATGGACCAATGCCTCAGAAATTTACCTTCAGCTCAGAAAAAGGAGGTATCTTTTGCAGGGATTTTTCACGAGATGGAGATGTGGCAAGATATGTTGCACCAATCCACAGCGTTCTGCATAAAAACATTGATAGCTTGGGACATTTATGTTGGCGGTTCCAGCTTTGAGTGAAGCGATGAAAAGACTAAATGTAAAGCAATTTAAGCTTTATATGTTCTACAAAGATGGTGTTTCCCTTTGTATTTTTAATGTTTTCTTTGTTTGTTGTTATTGATCTAATATGATGTGCCAAACAGACTTCTGTACGTACAGTATGTGCTTTTTGTAGAAAAGCATGTGACAAGTCAGCAAACCATTATTTTTTTTAGCGAAATAACAATTTTCAATTTATTTAACAATTAACATGCTGTGTTTCTGTTGTTTATACAAGTTTATGTCAACATACAAAGCAAATAAACATGTTTTGTCCCTTTTAAAATGAAAACATTTCTGTAACAATAATCAGTTCTGGTTCTTTTTACCCAGCATACACACAACTCTACTATTGTTATATTATAACAATTTACCTACATGGTGTGTACAGTGTGAAGTGGTGGCCACAGGCAGTCAGTACACTAAATCATAGGATACATTTTACACAGCCTTGACAGCAAATTTTTATAAGGCTTGTAACATAAGGTCTATATGACAATATGTGCAATGTGGTTATGGGATGGGTAAAGTGGTAGAATTAATCAAATTTACAGTAAAAAGTATGGAGGTAGGAAGAGGCCCGAGAGCTAAGAAAAGATAGTCTTCCGGCCGCACTTGGCTCCCAGGTTATAGACTGGATACCCCTGCTCTAGACGATGCGCAGTGATGGTGTCATACAACAGTGGGAAAGTAGGTGTGTCTGTGCCACTTGCAGCACGCGCATTGGTAGAGGAGTTGATCCTACTGAAGCTGAGCGATGACGTGTCCTCGGTTTAGTGCGTGTGCCTGAGCGGATCCATGAGTGTCCACTGTACAACTCCACTGTCATAACTCTCATTTATGAAGTGTTGAGAAGAATAAACAACCCAAACATAAAAAAACAAATTACATAAAATACCATATACACGGTTTATGTGAGAAATCCTGGTGTACAATCAGTTTACATCGATAACAAAATGCCTACGATTTTGTTCCAAACCAATGTTGCTTACAAAGAAGTGAGTTATCTTAATTTTTAGCTATCTTTGTTGCGAAGTGAAATCATAGAGATCATTGAAATGGGCGGAGTCTAGCGCTGTAAGCAAGATGGCCGCCTTCACTGAAAGGTAAGACAAAGCCATTCTGCTGTTTCATCGGCAATATTTCTAATGATTTGAGTAAATCACGTATGTTAATAGAAGGATATTCTGACTATAGTCTTTGAGTCTGCAAATGGGGACAGTTTAATATTTTAACTTAAGTAATTTAATCATTTAAACGTGAAGCTCTGATCAATTGAACTAACTTGACAGTTCCTGTACCGCTATTAGCTTAACGGGTTGTCGAGCTCGATACGAAACCTTAAGTAGATTATTAAGAAATACTCTTTAGTCTTATAGCTTGAAAGCCTTACAAATGTCAGTGTTAGCGTCGGTATGGCATCCTCATCTTAATCATTACATAATGAATTTTCTTCGTCCCTTTACTGGGTTCATTTGACCTCACTTGGCTTACTGGAAAGCGCCAACTTGTAGCTATAGTTCATTCATCCCTTTTGCGATTTTGCGCAGATATATCATATAAGTACTACATTCATACATGGGCTATGTGGTACATGCAATGTTTTTTAACCTTCTAATTCATAGTTACTCTATTCCCCCTTATAGGATGGCGCCTGTCCTAGCATTTATACTGGTTCTCTGTCTTGGGGAGACATGGGCTGTGGACAGGGGCAACTTTAAAACCTGTGACCAGAGTGCCTTCTGCAAGTAAGGGACCATCACAAAATTCCCACTCACATCCTCAATATTTTACCTTATGTTCTCCACACAATGTGATATTAAAATGTGATGTTTAACAGGCGCCAGCGTGCATTGAAGCCAGGGGAATCTCCTTATCGAGCCCTGCTAGAGACGATGGAGCTGACTAACACTAGACTAACACTTCAGCTCATCAATGATAACAATAAGGTATACCAGTGCACCTTGTGACATCTGCTGGTAATTTTTAAAATGTTGGATATCATGCAACAGTGATATTTTGCTTTTTTCATAGGTGCGTCTGTTGCTTGAGCTCTACCGTCTCCAGGGAAACATGACAAGGGTGAAGATTAATGAGCTGAAGCCTCTGAAGCCGCGCTATGAGGTCCCAGATGTCCTCATCAAGGAGCCACCCACTGAGCCGTAAGTCTCCAACGAACAGCGTGTTTGATCATGTAACTGAAGTATGGATTGTCTAGTTATCTGTAACCTAAAATGCCTCAAAGGAGTTCAGGATAGTGTTTTGTTTACTTTTTTATTTTTACATCACTTTGGGTAATACATATGCACTCATAGATTTCCGTGGCAGCAGTTATTATTATTATTTTTTTTCATTTTATATCGCGCTTTGTAGTAATAAAATGTAAACGTAATGGTGACTAATCGACTTGTGTATGCTCTTAACAATATGTGTATGTCTCCTTTCTGTACCACAGTCTGGCACTTTTATCCCAAGATGAGAATGGGGTGGTACTGTCCCTGGGTGCAGAGTCCCAGAGGGTTATTGTTAGCGCACGTCCCTTTCGTTTGGATATCATGGAGGGGCATGACGTGCTGATGTCACTGAACTCGCGTGGACTCTTGGCTTTTGAGCACTTGAGGATGCGCAAGGACACGTGAGACTACACACATGCGCACACACACTCTTTATATCTACGTCCTTGGTTAATTATTTACATTTCTGTTCCCATAAAATGATTTGTTTTTGAGTATTGTCTCTGACTGGTTGTTCTGTCCTCTTTTCCTATCATCCCAGTTTCTCCTATAAAGTAACTAGCACAGTGGCTAGTGTGTGGGATAATGTCAAGAGGGTTTTCTCTAGGTAAAGACCCTTAAGATTTGTGTGTATTATGTTCCTTGTGTACTAGGGTACATCATTTATTGGGTCCTCTGTCAGCTTGTGCAGTTTTATTGTAATTCTTAACCTGAGAAAGAAATGAATCAATGTGTGCATGGGACTAATAATTTTCCTGGACTGGCCAGTCTATTTGTGTTTAATACTCCATTGTAATTTTACACAATCAAAGCCAGTAAATGATTGTGATTTTGTTTTTTCAAATTGTCGCAGATTTAACAGGGTTGGTATTGGTAACGAAAAGTTTGAATCGTCAGCTGAAATCTTTGTATATAATTATATGACCTAGTTCTAACACTGCATGGCTGAGTTATATTATATCTGTAAATTGTAGAAGACCCTTATTATTATTATGTAGATTTATCTTGTAGCAGCATCTCTCTTTGTGGTTATGTTTTTATCTAGTTTGATTTGAATTAAGGATCCATATTTACCATACTTATACTATTTGCAAACAGGTATTCAATTTGGATGTTCATAGAAGAGCCATAAAATGAGCATTCAAGGGGGTATTGTTTAAATATGGTGTATGCACAACTAAATATAGCCACAAGGTAGGGAGTTGCTCCAAACCTTGAAATTTGGTAGTGTCTTTTGAAGAGCCTTGAAATGTAAATGTTAGTTATTTTTACCCCTTAAAATAAATATACACTCATACATAGTTTCATTAATTCTACATAATTTCAGGGACACTAGCGAATATCTTCCTCATCTTTCACTATCTCTTTTTGAGTAGTCAAGCAGAGCCAGATGCAGAGAAGAAAGAAGATGTTGATCCCGCTAACCAGCCTGAGGTACTTTTGTTTGCTTGCAAATACAACATTCATTGAACTTTGAAGTAGATTGAGTTGGATTATCATTGTTTCACTGTCTTGGTCACAGGCATCAAAAGAAGAGGATGAGAAAATAGAAGAAGGCATGTGGGAAGAAACGTTCAAGTCTCACTCAGACACCAAACCAAATGGTACATAACATTAATAAAGTGATTATGGGGGTATATTGAACTGTGCTGTAGCTGTATCATAAACAAATCTGATGTATCATAAACAAATCTGTTGTGTTTGGTTTCATATGTTTGTGCAGTAATGCATATTACCCTGAAAAACGCAAACTAGCATCCATGTTTTTAGCCTTAATTGACCTTAATTGATCACCCAGGCAGGGCAGTCAGAGACCCATGTCGTCTCTGATGGCAGTAGCAGTGTTTTCTAAGCACAAAAAACAGCACTGAAAGCCTTTTCATGTTTTACTTTTTTTTTTTGCAAAAAAAATCTTATTATATAGAGAAGCTTTTAAAATGCAGTATTCAGGGTTTTCAAAATAATATACAAATTAAGTGTAAAAAATACAATATAATACAATGAATACAAATTACATGCATGATGGCCATGACAGGCATGTCTACTATGCTTTTCCAATCTCACAGGTCCTTCAGCTATAAGTTTAGACTTTTCTTTGCCTGGAGTGGAACATGTGTATGGCATCCCCGAACATGCAGATACTCTTAAACTTAAAACAACTGAGTAAGTGCCAATAAATGTCCTAAGAAAGAATTAACACAATAAAATACTAACACTAATACCATAGTTTGTTTTAACAAATATGTATAATTGTTTTTGACAGAAATGGAGATCCATATCGGCTGTATAACTTGGATGTGTTCCAGTATGAACTTTATAATCCTATGGCTCTTTATGGAGCGGTCCCAGTTATGTTGGCCCACAACACACAGCGGACGACTGGTATTTTCTGGCTGAATGCTGCAGAGACGTGGGTGGATATCAGCTCTAACACAGCTGGAAAAGTATGTGCCTTGGATTTTTCAAACTAGTATTATGCCTTGATTTGAACTAATGGTATGTTGATTTGTTATAGACTGTTTTTGGAAAGATGCTAGATTATGTGCAGGGATCAAGTGAGAAGCCACAAACTGATGTCCGTTGGATCTCTGAAAGTGGCATTATTGACGTATTCATAATGCTTGGACCAACACCTAAAGACGTGTTTTCACAATATGCCTCACTCACAGGTAAGTTTAAGTTTACTCTCCCTCAAAAGTGTATTTTTTTACAAAACATGCTTGCATGTGGTAAAAAAAAATAAATCAACAATCATTAGATTCTTCCTTTGGTTGCAATACTACTTGCTCTATACAGCTTAATTCAGCTCTAACTCTGTTTCAACCCTTTAGGCACACAGTCTTTTCCACCTTTTGCTGCTCTGGGCTACCACCAGTGTCGATGGAACTATAATGATCAGGAGGATGTAAAGAATGTTGATGCTGGCTTTGACGAACATGACATCCCCTATGACTTTATTTGGCTTGATATTGAGCACACTGATGGAAAGCGCTACTTCACCTGGGATCCTCACAAGTTTGCCAGTCCTAAGGAGATGCTGCAGGGTATCAAGGAGAAGAAACGCAAGGTAAACTCTAAACATAACAGCAAAGATGTTGCCAGTTCTTTCAAACAGTAGTAGTTTACTATGTGGCACTTGTTTCTGTTGTAGATGGTGGCCATTGTTGACCCACATATCAAAGTTGACAGCAATTACAAGATCCATAACGAAATCCGGTCAAAAGGTTTTTATGTTAAGAACAAGGATGGTGGAGACTATGAGGGCTGGTGCTGGCCAGGTAAAAGTCTAACTAATTTTTGTGTTTCATTCTCATAACTTTGTACGGGTAACTTTGTATGGGTATGGGTGAACATTTTTTTTGTTCTTTTGATGACAAATCGTGCAGGTAGTGCTGGTTATCCAGATTTCACCCGTGCAGACATGAGGGCTTGGTGGGCCAGCATGTTTGCCTATGATCAATATGAAGTAGGTCAACTGGCTTATCTTTTTGTACTATGTATCTTGTAGATGTGTATCTTTTACATATTTGTCTGTTTTCAGGGTAGTATGGAAAACTTGTACACATGGAATGACATGAATGAGCCATCGGTTTTTAATGGACCAGAGGTCACCATGCACAAAGATGCCATGCACCAAGACTGGGAGCATCGTGATGTTCATAACTTATATGGGCTTTATGTGGTGAGCAAATAAACAGTCAAATGAATTAACTGTTGTATAACCAAACAAGTAGTTGTATAGCTACAAAAACAATTGACAGTATATAAGTTTATTTTAATCAAATCCTGCAGCAAATGGCCACAGCTGAAGGTCAGATCCAGAGATCTGGAGGTGTAGAGCGTCCATTCGTCCTTACCAGGGCCTTTTTTGCGGGATCACAGCGCTTTGGTGAGGGCTTTATACTTGTATTCAGCAGAATTTCTCTGTGACGGTGACTCATGAGGGACTAGAGCCTGAGTGTATGTTTCTGCAGGTGCTGTGTGGACTGGCGACAATGCCGCGGAGTGGGACCATCTTAAGATCTCTATCCCAATGTGCTTGAGCCTTGGCTTGGTTGGAATTTCTTTTTGTGGAGGTGAGTTACACTAAAAATGAACTAAACTAACTAAACTATGAAGTAAATACTGTTAAGTATTTTTTATAATTATATATAATTATAACTTGAAATTTTAAGTTAATCTTATTTTAACTTTTTTTTTTTTTTCAAGAAGTACAGTTTAAGTAATTTATCTTTAAGTTGTTATACTTTTTACATGCATATTCTACTGCTACTGTTCTTGTACACTGCAATGCAATATCTCTCATATGGGTTGAACAGTTTTGTTGTTGTTTTTTAATTTCATACTTCATAAATACATTGCAATTTGTTTCTCTTGCCATATGTAGCTGACGTGGGAGGCTTTTTCAAGTCTCCGAGCTCTGAGCTTCTGGTGCGTTGGTACCAAACCGGAGCCTACCAGCCATTCTTCCGGGCACATGCTCACCTGGACACGCCACGCCGGGAGCCATGGCTCTTTGGTCCTGAGAACACTGCCCTGATCCGTGACGCAGTGCGCCAGCGCTACACTCTGCTGCCCTACTGGTACCAACTGTTCTACCATGCATACCTAACTGGAGAGCCTGTCATGAGGTGTGTCTTCTTTACATCATTCTATTAATAATAAAAGTGGATTTCTGTTACATTTTACATAGTTACATTTTTGTTTTCATATAGACCATTGTGGATAGAGTATCCTCAAGATCCTGCTACTTTTGCCATTGATGATGAGTTTCTCATTGGTACGGTTTGAGTCTATATTTCACTAGAGCATTTGTTGTTTTTACGCTAACATTTACATTTTTTTATCTCTCTGCTGCAGGAAAAGACTTGTTGGTGCATCCTGTGACCGAGGAGGGATCTAGGGGAGTCACTGCATACCTGCCAGGGAAAGATGATGTATGGTGAAAAAAAGACAGTTTTATCCTAAATGTGGGCTTGATTTTAATAACTGTTTTTCCAGGTCTGGTATGATGTCCAAACGTTCCAGAAGCACAACGGGGCCCAAAACCTTTACATTCCTGTGACAATGAGTAGTGTAAGGAATACTGTATACCATTTTGAATAGATTTAGTTTTCCAGTCTGCATTTATCTTAACACTCTTGTCTTTGGGTAGATTCCAGTTTTCCAGCGTGGTGGTTCCATTATTCCAAGGAAGCTCCGTGTTCGCAGATCATCAACTTGTATGGAAAATGATCCTTACACTTTATACATTGCCTTAAATCAACAGGTAAATTTTAAATGTGATTGATAACAAAGAAGGCACTATTGTGAGACTAAACTCATGTACTTTTTTTTTTTAAACATTGAATATTAGAGAGCTGCAGAGGGTGAACTCTACATTGATGATGGTCATACCTTCAGCTATCAAAAGAAGGAATATATTCACCGGAGGCTTACATTTTCCAACAACAACCTCTCCTCTGTGTAAGTTTCAATTTTTATAAAATTGAGGCTCATCATCTTTGCTATTTTTGTAAAGATGTTATCTTTCCCACAGAAACTTGAATTCAGACAGCCAGTTTACTACTGCTTCTTGGATTGAGCGCATCATTATTATTGGTGCCAGTAAGCCCAGCAAGGTTACACTTCAGACAGTTGGTGAGTTACATTTCTATTGTATTATGTTTTGCATACCAATTTATTAGTAGGAGACTAGCAAAATATATTGTGGTTGCTCTTCAACTTTCTTCAGTTTGTTTTCCACTATGTTTATTGTATATTCGCTTTTCTGCAGATGGCCAGGAGAGCACCATTGAGTTTGATTTTGATGCCTCCATGTCTGTGCTGACTCTCCGTAAACCGGGCATGAATGCTGGGGAAGACTGGAAGGTGATGCTGCAGTAACCATGGAGACAGCACTGAGAGAACATGAGAAAATGTCTGTGCAGAAGGAGACAGAATGGCAGTAAGGGGACAGTAAAGGGTTGTACCAAACAAAATCACAAATGAGGCCATAATTCATTTGTAAAAGAAACATTGTTATCAGAAAGTTGGTTATCCTGAACTGTCTCTTCTCTTTTCTGTCCTTGTGTTCAGTCCCTACAATTCCTAACAAAATAGTGACTACTAGATGTTTTTAGGTGAATTTCAGATAAATTCTATCAAATCACATTGACCCTGACGTAAAACAAAGGTCACTTTAGGTTTGTCATTTCTAATGAAAGCTTATTCTTAAACTTCATACTTCTGCTTGCTCATAGGCTCTTTCATTCCAAGCATTTTCCAAAGCACTTAGTTTGTAAGCAAACAATTCTGGAGTGTCTGTAAATGCTCTTTATGGATGCAGTTTCTCCTGCCAGTAGGTTTTTACATAAATTAAATGTGTGCTATGACCATTGCAGCAAAGCTCTTTTGTCTGACAATATAAATTCTGGGAATAAACCACTAAACCACAATTCCATAAAGCTTTTAAAGAAATAATTTTCCAACATTGTTTACTATAATTTTATATTGCACTTGTGAAATATCAACAAAAGTTACTTAGATCTGAATAGTCTGCTGCTATTTAAACCTGCATTGGTTCTTTTTTAAAATGACATACAAAATTATGCACTGTTATTGCATTGTTTTCTAACCATTAGAATCTGATTGTTTTGTCCAGTCCACTATTTTAGGCATCGTTTCATCTTTATCTCCATGATTTTATGATTGTGCACATGTTGCTTCCATTTTGTTGGAAATTGTCTGAGATAAGAACAACAGAAGTGAAATTGAAATGTATTCTAAAAGATGAGACCAAGAAAAATAAAGTTGACCAAATAAACAGTTGCCATGTTATGTCAGTGTTCTGAAATCATGCTTGTTGCTGCTGAAACATTTTAAATGCACAGTAGCCTACTATTTCATCAACACATCAGTTTTAAGAATTCATGTAGATATTTGAAGTTGCCTATAGTTATTCCCATTTTGTATTGTTTATAAAAAGACAAGAGCATCCTGTTTGAGTATTGTCTCATCACTTAAGCACTGTTTGAAGAGTTTTAATGAAATTCTGCTTGTGATTAATATCAGCACTTCAGTAACAGGTTTAATTGTAGTATGTCTGAAAAACAGGAACCAGTGGATGAGACTCTGACCTATTCTGGTAAGACAGTATCTTTAAAAGGCATGAGCTGCAACAAATAAATAACAGAATGTACTATTATTGGTCAATTATTAGCCATAGAAGAACTACAAACAACATGGCATATTTTCTTCATGCTAAAGACAAAATGTATTAACTAATGTACAAGAAACCTTTCACCCTCTCAGCACCAGAGCTTTGGGAAACATCCATAAAAATATGTCTACACTCAGGGTAGTAGACGGGGGGGATAAAGGTCTGCTGTCCCAGGCCCCTGGGTTTTAGGGGCCTAGAATGAATTATAGTAATTTATAATAAAGGGGGGCCTACGCCATGCATCCTGCTTCCTCTTCTTGCTTCTGAAGGTTCTGAGTGTGGGGACATAAGATTTTTAAAACAAATACATGAGGTCCATGCCAATCAACCAATCAAATTGTCATTTGTGTAGATATTTTATTGGAAAATGTCAAATGCACATCATTAAAACATATGCAGTTGTTTTCAGAAAAAGTCCAACACCATAAAGCAGATAAGTTTTTGAAAATGAATGACATATCTAATTAAACATTACACTATAATTATTTTTTAAACCCTCTTTTCATTTATAAAGAAAATACAAATGTCTTTGCCATGAAGACTTTTTGATCTGCTTTGTGATTTTGGAATTGGCAAATATAGTTATCACCAAATTATGACCACAGGACCTTTGTAGAAACAATCAGGTGCATCTTTTGTAATGTTTATTTAAGTATATTTGTGAAAACGTAACAATAAAGTTTCAACTCTTTAAATGTTAAAAACCTCAATTCCTCGATTGCCTTCAGTGTTAACTCCAGTACTGTAATACCATCCTTCTAAAGATGATTTGTTGTTTGGTTTATTGAATGATGCTAAGACGTTGGAGTCAATTGTTGTTTTTTCATCTGTTGTTATTGAGGTAAGGTAGGCTCGTAGAGAGATTAGAGTACATTTACTTTTTGGTAACTACCAACACAGCTGAAGGCACCAAACCTGTAATATAAGAACACCACAATTATTACCAGTGTTCACTTACTATACTGCATTACTATGGGGGCTCTTACCCAGTTCTTTAAGTGGCTTCTCCATATCCAGCTCTGTGTAGTGGTGACGGGGATATGGTGAGAGAAGTGAAAAGTCCTGGCCTTCTGGTGTATTTCCATTCATTTGAACATACACACGGACAGCCGCCAAAGGCTCCTGAGCCTTGAAAGATGTGGTGATAGTTGAGCCATCCAGCAAACGAATCTGATCAAGTAAAAGACAAGTCATCCACTGATATTTTCATTTGGAATGATCAAAACTTCTCTGAATAACTGCTATGATCTGTACCTGTATCCGAGATTCATCGTACTCTCTTTTTGTGGGTGGAGGACCCTGACCAGGAGGCGATGTGGGACTTGGCTGGGATGATGATGCACCACCCCCAAACTGAAAAGACAGTAAATGACAATGGTAAAATACAGACAAGAGACAAGGATGTTAATTGTTCATGTACCTTTTGAGCTCTTTCTTCTCTGTCTCTGGCAATTTTTTCTTTAACCCTTTGCCTAGGCAAATGAAAGTATGAGATTTTGAGAATATATTTTAAGATGTATGAGATTTAATATTTTAAATAGTTTTAATGAAAACTTTCATCTTTAAAGTCGGTCAGTTCTCGCAGTTTGTAGAAACAAGTTTTGATCTCAATTTGTAAAAATTGATTTCCACTAATCTATAAAAATACAGAAAAAATATGTACCTTGCTAGTTTGTCTTCCATTTTCTCTTTTCTCCTTTGATCAGCTAATTTCTTCATATCATCCTCCTGCAGCTTCTGACGAATTTGCTGCAGCTCTTGTCCTTGTTTCCTTCGAGTCTTTTCCCTTTCAATCTCCTCAGCCTTTTCACGCTCTCTCCTCTCGGCTTGCTTGACTCGCATCAGTTCTTCAAGTCTGAACAACATAGTTGACAAGTCTAATAAATCCATTGTTAATCCAAAATGAGAAGTCTGTTCATGACCTTTGATATAATTGAGACTTAACTGCCTGGTTATTAACATGTTATGACAACACTCTGACACAGTACTTACCTTTTAACTTGTTCCCTCTTCTCTTCTTCAGTCATTGGCCGTTTTGAACCGTCAGGATTAATGATGTCTCCACTCGCTGTTAATTTTACAGTTTATATGCTGTACTGAAAATACCTTCTAAGCACAGAGCATTAATAAAATATTTGTTGAGTAACCTACCTTCATCAGGATCTAAATCTGTCATTTCTGAACTCGGAGGAACTTCTGCTGTGCCTCCCAGGACATTCTCTGCAGGTGGCACAAAGGGCTCATCGATGTCTGGGTCATTTTCATGCTCCATTAACCTGTAGTGGTAAAAAGGGATGGATTTCTCTAAATAAAAACTACTAAACTTATAAGTAATTAGTTGTGTATCCACTCTTACCAGTCCATTGCCTGCTCGATTCCCTGGTTTCCGGTGTTGGCCACAGCTCTCTCTCTACATGATGACAGACTTAGAGTTCTTAAAATGGCCTGAAATATACTAAAATGAGTTTAAGAGTTTCCCATACTCACGCTCTATTCCTGTCAAATCCCATCTCCAGCAGACTCTCTAATGTAGTCAGCTCTGCCATCTTTAGCTGTAACACAATGAGAGTGGGTTCAATGATGGCAGTAAAATGAAGTATAGTATCATGTATAATGTATGGGGAGACGCATAGACGTTGTTTACAGGCTAAATGATCGCTGTAAGAGTAGCACACCATTGTTGTCATGATCAGAAATCAATTAGGGACAGATTAACTCAGCACATGGTTTCTGTACTATGGGTAGCTCTTTAGCTCAGTCAGACCTATTAACTTCATCATAGTGTGGAGTGGGACCCGCACCCACCTCTGAATGCCACCCAAAATAAAATCTGCTAAAGCTATCATACAATAATCAGAGCTATAATGGCTTTTATGCGGCAAACACTTAAAATCGAAAGCTAAATGGGAAGCCTCGCTAGCTTTCCAAAATGGAAACATTACATATAAAACAAACGCTATCTCATAACAATACATGTGAAGTGTTTCACAATTTTAATACGGTTATTATAATCAGTTATTATACCGCCAAAGTCTAATACGAGTAGTTAATTTATTCAGAAAAAACATGAGTTAGCTACTCACACATTAGTCAACACAACGCCGCTTCAACAGTACGGAAGCCCAGATGTGACAAACGACGTTGCACCAAAAACGATTCGTTTCATTAGAGCTGCATGGTCATAACTTCAGGGGATAAGAGACCAGACAGTAGAAACAGCCCGAAGAGTTGTTTGAAATCACAATAGAACAAAAATAACCAGATCAGGCGTAAACTCGGCCTACGTTTATGATTTTACTACTGGAGCTTTAAATACAAATTCTAATGAATGAAATGAAAAAGGGCAGATTATGTTTAACTAATCGTTGGTTAGAACATGGATAAGTTATAAAGACTCTTTTTTTTCACTGTTCTTCATCTTTGCTGCCCATGAGTCATCATCACCTAATGCCGTTAGCTGAGCTTTATGGGTTAGGTTTGGTCTGTTATATATTTACAGCAATGTAATGATTAATTTCTTTCTGCCTTCTCAGTTTTAAGCAGCAGGCATCATTCATAAGTGTGTCATTTGGACAGGCTTCATTGATGTCATGTCATTGTAAGTAAGAAGACATAAACTCTCTTGTGAGCTTAAATAGGCTCTTTTTTCATTCACTTTTATGTATTTTTTTTATTCTTCATCGGTTTTAAAATTATAGCTATTGTTTGTATTGTTTTTCAACAGAGAAGCGTTATTTGGCAGGTGAGTATATGGATTTATTAACACACAACTACATCTTAAACAACAGACTAAATGTATCAATTGAAAGGATCACCGATGTATTTAATGGCTATATACACCTATAAAGAATAGATCAGTCAATTCTAGTTGTAGCCTATTTGAGAGTGAATAGGCAGTTTATTCTTATTGCCTAGCCTAACATATAGTTGTTTAAAGAAGATGTAGTTGAAGATGTACTCGTGCATAGTTTGAAAAGACAATATGCCTTTGGAGTGTGTTAAATTATTTTATTGCTCTGTTATTTTGCAGAAAGCATGGGATAAAGGTCAAAGCTCACCCAAGGCAAGTTAAAGAAGAGTGAAGACAGTGCTCTACACCAGGATGTCCATTCATGTCTTAGAGCTGTAACGTGTACAAAGCCGTATTGCTTGTAAGTAAATGGTGATTAGTTGATTGATTGATTTTATGTACAGAATTTGTAGACTAATCTAAATTCTGGACTTTTTGGTTTATTCTATTGGTGCCCCAAAGATGGTGCTTAATCTTACAAGCAATAAAAGATGAATGAGGAGAGTAAAGGTCATTCTGTATTAACTTTATAACCACTGAGTTGACTGCATACTTACAAACTTGTACAGTGATTGCTGATTTGTTGCTCCCCAAAAGATGTCACTATAACACCATGCTCCTGGAACGTTGTAATCTGTAGACCTATATTTTGGCATACTCTATCCATGTTGCTGTACTACCTTTACCACTGCAATCTTCTACCAAATATCCTTTGTGCTGTTAACCATCCGCTGTATGCATCGCCTGTTCCACTCTGCTGTTTGTGTGGGTCTTCACCAGCTGTAACAGCATCTCCATATGGAAAATAATTGGCTTCCAGTGGAGCTGCTGTTATCTATGGAGGGACACCCCTGCCATCACAACAATGCACTCTCTCTCTTATAAAAACTAGGCTATTTTGTGTATCAATTTCAAATGCTCTTTGTAGCAATTTCAATAAAAAGTTTTTGTTTGTTTGTTTTTTTTAAACAATTGCATTAATTTAACATTGGTCTCTTTTTTATCTGTCTCCCCGGTTACTTTTTTCTTTTCTTTTTTTTTTTTTTTTTAAGTCTTCTGAAATATAGCAATATAGATTTTATGTAGACAAATTTTATTGATCTACAAGGGAAATTATTTGGACACAGTAGCTCACACATCACAATATAATATAATAACAAAGAGCAAAAAATATAAATGGTTGTAAATTCTAAATAAGAACAAAAAAGACAGCAAGAGACAGGCGTCAAATAAGACACAATTACATAAATGTGAATATACAGTAAAAATAAAATAGAATGATAAGTAATAAAATATAAAATCACAGCTTTATACAAGAGGTCATAGGAAGACAGTGTAACAATGCTATGATGACTGACAGGATATAGGGTTATCAATTACATAAGGGTGAGTTGTTGTACAGTTGTATGGAGTATGGTAGGAATGTAGTTCTGTATCTCTCAGTGTTTGAGAGGAGCTGTAGGAGCCTGTTGGAGAATGACCTCCTCTGTGTCCATGATGGAATCTTCTTGTACACAGCATTACAGCTGTTCCTCCAGTCCAGTCTGTCATTCACCTGCACGCTAAGGTACCTGTAGCCACCATTCCACCTTATGGCCCTGGGTGGTGACAGGCTCCACTGATGCCCTATTTCTTCTGAAGTCAATCACCAGTTCCTTGATATTGTCAACATTAAGGAGCAGATAGTTTGCCTGGAACCACTCCCCAAAGTTTGCAATCAGTGTACTGTACTCCAGCTCCTGACCGTCTCTGATACACTCAACCACTGCAGAGTCATCAGAGGACTTCTGCAGGTGGCAGGACTTGGAGCTGTACTGGAAATCAGAGGTGTACAGAGACATTGTAATACGCCTTTCTTTATATACCCACATTTTATAAATATTTTTATGATATTGTAAATAAATAGCATTTATAATTATAATTATTATACAGATGTTACATAGTTTCAATAGTTCAATGAAAAGTAGTAGGAGAAAAGTACCAGACTGAGGTCTGTATGCTACTTTCTTTCAGATCACTTGTGAGCTTTTAATTTGGGTAGATTTATTATTTAAGATTAAGATAACTTTTTCAGACACAGGAATTGCTGTAAAGATATAGGCAAATATAGGCCCTAGGCATATTTTATATTGTTGCACAACCCCCTTAAAGGTTTTCTGATTCTGAAAAAAAAAATAAAACTGGGTTCCCGTAAATAGAAACCAAAAGCAAAAGAAAGAGGGCCATGTTTGAAATTACAAGGACAAACAAATATCAATGCTGTGAGTTTTTATCTGCTACTTTCAGTTTCATATGGACCATAGACCAATTCACAATTCAGTTGTTTATGAGAGTAAGACTCTCTAGGTTAGCATAAAAGTAAAAACAAAAACACAAAACATTTTTTTTTTTAAACGGAGTCAAGTGTTTCACTCAGTGGCAAACATGGTGGCAAATATGGTTTTATTATGGAGATGTCTGTCGTTCATGGCTCAGAATCTATTTCCGGGTGGAGGGGCACGTACAAACTGTCAGCAGGCTGCTGCTAACAGCTAATTTGCTGCGTGGTGGATTAATTGTTTTGCTTTATTTGTTGATATTTCACAAGTGTACTCTTGTTAAATCAAAACCAAAAGTACATATACGTGTGTCATCGTAAGACAGAAAGTCCCCCTGAATATGACTGCATAGCACTGCGTGGCTAACGACAGAGGGAGGGGGCACAAAACTTCCCAGACCGCGCCCAGCTTCGGTTCATTCCAGCAGGCAGCTAGTAACTCTCCTAGCGGTGTGAGGAGCCCACACACCAACCGATCAAATTAGATAATTACGGGATACCGACATTATAGTGTAAACCAAAAGTAGATCAGATCATCATGTTTAGAAAAACTCTGAAGAAAGACCCGGAGCTCTTTCAAAACGTGTCCGAAGGTCTGCGGCGGCTTTACCGCACGAAGCTGTTCCCGCTGGAGGACACGTACCGCTTCCACGACTTCCACTCCCCGGCACTGGAAGATGCGGACTTTGACAACAAGCCTATGGTGCTTCTGGTGGGACAGTACTCGACCGGGAAGACAACATTTATCCGCCACTTGATGGAGCAGGACTTTCCCGGTATGCGGATTGGCCCGGAGCCGACTACAGACTCTTTCATTGCCGTTATGCACGGGGAGCAGGACGGGGTGATACCGGGGAACGCTTTGGTAGTCGACCCAAAGAAGCCCTTCCGCAAACTTAATGCTTTTGGCAACGCTTTCCTGAACAGGTAAACCCACTGCCAACATGGTGTTAACCTGAAACACAAAAGTTAAAAGTTGTTTCCACTTAGATTCTGTACAAGCCTAAAGTCTTTAAGTCACATAGTGATTATACAGACAATAATTGGAGCATTATATGTATGCAGTGTCCACAGGTGTCCCACTGTATGAATGAAACGCACAGCACAGCGGCCTGCCAGTGTCGCATGGGGGTAATGTCAAACAGAGGGGCTGCCAAAAGGACGTCACTGTTTAAATGGCCTCACATGTTCGTACTTGTAGTAGGTGAGGTGAGCGTAGGCTGTTGCACAATTTTCCCAGCATTCTTGGACTCTTGAGTTTCTCTCTGTCTCTGGGATCTGTGGGATCTGTGGGATCTGTGGGTGCTTCAAGGTAGAGTGAAAGACCCACTGTGTTTATGGCAAATCAAAGGACGAAAGTGTCATTAATGTCATGATTGTATTTAGATTTTTTCTATTGAACAAAGCTTAACGTAGACCGATATATATATATATACTATCATGTCTTCCCATGTCAAAGTCACTCTTGACAGACAGTTTGTGTCAGCAAGCAGAGGCTCTTAAATATACAATTTGACAGTGCTGCCAGGTAACACTGACCTTGTCCTGTCCTCCATTGGGCGTTACAAGTCATAAAAGTGTAGAATGTGTGATCTTATCTCAAAGTGCTAAAGGTGTCTTCTACTTAATACTGAGTCAGCCACATAGTTTAGTAAAAAAGTGTCATAATGCGACTTGGATCAGGACATTAAACCAACAAATACTGAATGTCTACATGTCTTACCCATAGTTGTGCTGGATAAATTGTTAGAAGCCTATTTTTCTAGAAGTATACTAATCTGAACTAATCAAATGATTACAAAATGATTACACTACCACAATATTTGCTGTCACACAACAGCAAACAAATTAGACAGACAATCACTCATTCTCAGTTCAGTCAGTTATACCACCTCAAATTGCATTATTCTAATACAATATAATTTGTAACTTACAATCAAAGTAGAATGTGGTCCTATAAAATTGAAAAAAATGTACATTATTTTTTGTGCTTAGTACCCTTATCCCTTGGGATTTCTTCTTCCCGAAGAATGTTAAGTTAAGAGTTATATTTGTTAGAAGACTTTCTTTAGGACTAACGTTTAACACAAGAACACTTTATGCAGATGGTCATTGCCCTTTTTCACGTCATTTGTTGGCTGCAGTCCCCGATGCTGTTACATTGTATTGGACATCATTGCCACATTGAGGTCATAGAGGAATGTGTTATATAGAGCTAGATGTGTATGGTGTTCACATATTATTTTAACCATTTGTGTTTGGCTGGGATCCACAGATAATATGTATTTGTATCATTACCATATCATTAATTTCAACACCTGCATTTTAGTTTAGCCTTTAAATACAGATGCAACTGTCTGTATAACCAATCATTTGTGCAATGTAACCTTTCCCATTAAACAAACTTATAATCCTATCCAACTCAAAGTAAAATTCACCCCTGCCCCTTAGTTTTTGTAGCCTAGCCTCTCCATTTAGCATAGCATGTCTTCCTTTTACTGAGTGGGCCTCATGCTCTCTGTGAACTATTAGTAAGTAAATCTGGAGTCAGCAAAGTCTCAGTTCCTCAGTGACCCTCCCCTCGCCTGCTCTGTCCTGTAATTCCAGGACACTGACTCTGCACTTTAGACCAAGTGAGAGAGGGGCTCACGTGGAGAGGATCTAAAAAAAAAAGAAAAAAGTAATATAATGTGTAAACCTGTGGACTGTAGAGGAAACGGAACAGTTGTAACCTGTGCTAGTCACCCATTTCCTTTTGTCCTGGAGGAAACTGAGGTCATGATATTGGAGAGGTGAAAGGTCAAGAGGTGGGTTAAGGAGAGGTAGCATTACGTCATAACACAGAGATGAACAAGAAACTGGTGTGTTAGTTGTTCCTCCCAAAAAGGGCATACTTTGGAGCATAACTGAAATAGCTATCAAAACTTCTGCCTTGTGGTGTCTTCCCTTCCATGAATTCCAGCATTTTTTCCCCACTGGCTCCATGTGGAAAATGTTGGAGAATGGAAAGCCAACATTCATATCACACACCAACTGAACTGAAAGGAAGGGAAAAAGCTCCATGTTTGTTATCTTTGGCACTCAGTCTTATAGTAATGCAATAGCGGTTGCTCATATTACTCAAACGTATTCTTTGGTGTGTTTTTTCCTATCCCCCTGTGTGTGGTGGGGGGCTGGGAGGGGACCGTTTTTTGGAGTCCAGTGTGGTTAGTGAAGGAATGTTAAAGCCTAGGTCTCTCAGTCTCGTGACCCACCCGCTGCCTCTGAGATCATGCTGTGAGGGTATCAGTTCATATCGACTCCAATGGCAGCCGAGCGGAATACCCCAAAGCAAGCAGTGTGGTGTCATTAACAATCCACTCCTTTGTTTGCAATAACACTATACTATACTATACTACACTACACTATACTATACTACACAATATCACTCACTCACATGTTAGGTTTCCACGTTTCTCGGGAACAGCACATTTACAGCATAGTACTTTTAGACTGATCTATAACCTAAATCATGCATTTTCCTAACCTTAACCTATACCCTTATCATAACCTCATTTAACCTCTTATATTGAACTTACAATCCTGTTGTTGATCTAAAGCATTTACGTCATAGGGGCTGAATTTTTGTCCCCATAAGGAAGGCAGGACCCCATAATGTGTGTGTGTTATGTTAATGTATTTCATCGGTGACCACTCTGTCCAGGCTGGTCTACATTTCATGCAAAATCCTTATTCTGTGCCATTCTTGGGTGTTGTTGTTGTATCATTCATTTGTTTGTGTTTTGTCTGCAGGTTCATGTGTGCCCAGTTGCCTAACCCTGTTTTGGAGAGCATCAGTATAATCGATACTCCAGGAATCCTGTCGGGAGAGAAGCAGAGGATAAGCAGAGGTTGGCTCTTTCTCATCACTCACTAAATCCACATATTGTTAGCCTTATAGTATAATTGCCATTTCATTTTTCTCGGTTTCTGGGTAAATAGAACTGCTAATGTCAATAAGATCACTGGGCCAGTTTGTGGTTTTTTTGTGATTGGCTGAGGATGGAGCCAATGACACTAGATGCAGCAGGGTCTGGAGAGTAGATTGGGACAAAAAAAAAAAAAAAATCAGTACAGCCAAAAATGACTTCAGCAATATGCAGCCTGTCCGCTGTTACTGAGAGCCACACCCACTGTAACCTAAACTACTTTGCATGCATTCAGGAACAGCCTCAAGAGATTTTGAATTAAACTACATAGTCTTTTCTGCTGTTGGAAAAAGCAAATATTAAGTTTAATGTTGAGGTCCTGCTGTGTTATGTCCTTAGTAGGGTGGTCAAATCTTGAAAATATTACAAGGCTAATTTAATAAATGATAAAACTTATTTGAGGAGGTACCAATCACACTAATCTTCAGCAGAAATTCTAAATGTACAGTGTTGTGGTGGGGCACTCCTATTTCCCTTTTACACTGATATTTTGGTACACACGTTCCAAGTTACAAATGAAAGTAATTAATCCTGAGTCATTTCCGGCACAGCCATGCTAGATAACATAACTGACCTTTATAGAGAGGTTGTAGTGAATTGCAAAATAAAAAGTTTCCTTTAGTTATGATGATTGTACAAATAACAAGCGGATGATGGTAAGACAACTTCTTCATTTGTATCTCAAGAGGAAGCATGCAAGTTGAAGTGGTGCTTTTTTACTCAAGGGACAGGAAGTGGAGTAAAATAACAGTTTCCCAAGACTTCACATCTGCATAAGGCTGCTTCTCATTGGCTCAACATTCCGTCAGGGAGAGTAAACCCCACATGAATAGTTTTGATTGAGTTA